TTTAGAGTACTAATACCTTAAATAAAGATAGCTTATAAGCCGTTTGTTAATTACTTAAGTATCTTATTTATAATTATATTATTAATATAAGCTTAAGTAAAAGCTTCTTTTATAATATAAAGCGCTATAATAGTAATATATATAAAATTAAAATTCTCTTAAATTATTTATATAAGCGCTTAGTACTATTACTTAGCTAATTAATAATAAAAACTAAAACCTATTCTAATTAATACTAAGTAATATATTTTTTTAATTACTATTTAATTTATTAAAATAAAGTCTTTTTATTATTTTTATAATATAGTTTATAAATAAAGGTAAAGTTAATATTTTATTTAGTATTTTTTTTAAAAAGAATATTATTATAAATATTTATTTATATTTTCTACTTTTATTAATTTATTAAATAGTTCTTAATATCGATTATATAGTATTAATATATCCCCCTAATAGAGTAATCTGCCGGGGCCGTAGTATATATTACGTATTAAGGAAAACTAGGTATAATATGCTCTATACCTAATTACTAACTAAAATAGTTAACCGACTTAATTATTATCTCCCTTTTATTAATAGCTCCTAACCTTTTACTACCCGCCTATAGAGTAAGCTTTACCTACTCTAATACGCATAAAACCTCTTAATACTAGCTTATATAAATAATTAAGTCTAATATAATTTATTTTTTTATATAAGTATTATTATTACTTAGGGGGTCTTATAAGAGCTATTTAAAGCGCTAGCTTATTACTCTAACTTTATATACTTCTAGCCCGTTTATTATAACTATTATAACTAAGCTAGTATTAATATATTAAATCTTAATATTTATATTAGCCTAGCTATTTATAGTATTTATAATATTACTTAGCTAAATTCTATATTATTAAAAAGTACTTTATTACTTTTTAAGCGTACTTATATTAATTATAATAATTATAATATTAAACTAGCTAAAGAGGGTGCTTAGCCCGAGAGGAGTAAACTTATTAATAAGTATTTTTAGTTTATTAATTACTAATTATATATTAAGAATAGAGTAAGTTCTTATTAAGTAATAGTTTATATATTAATAAGTTTATTTAATAAATTTATTTAATAAATTTATTTAATAAATTTATTTAGTTTAAATAGAGAGTAGCTTTAGGTAATATTAAAAGCGATAAGGATAAAAAGAATCTTTATAAGCTTTAGTATAATAAAAGAGTAGTAAATATTAGCCTATTTAGCCCTTTTTTTAAAAACCTTTATATTATTATTAAAGTTTAGAACCTCTATAGTTAAGGGCCGCTTCTAATTATTATAACTAATTATTATAGCTAACTATTATAGCTAATTATTATAGCCGACTTTTGTTATTAACCTTTTTAGCCGGCGCTACTACGTAAGTATATTACTTAGCCTATTATTAATAAGTAATAGGGTAGCTTATTTATTTTAAATTAAATAGCGGTTTTTATATTAAAATTATTATATTATATTAAGCGCGTACTTAGGATATATAGTGGTTTTTTTCCGGCTTTATAGGTATAAAAAATCGACCTTAACGGGATTACGCTTTTAAAAGAAATTATACGATACGGTATACTTTTTAACTATATAATATGCGTAATATACCCTAAGTATGCGCTTAACGTAATATAGTAATTTCGATACGAAAACTACTATATAATTTAAGATAAGTAAGTTACCCTCTTTAGTAGCGGCGCTAATTAAAAAGGTTAATAGTAGAGGTTAGCTATAATAATTAGCCGTAATAGTTAGCTATAATAATTAGAGGTAGCCTTTAACTATAAAGGTTCTAAACTTTAATAGTAACGTAGAGGTTTCTAAAAAAAGGGCTAAATAGGCTAATATTTACTATTTTTTTATTATATTAGAACTCGCAAAAATTCTTTTTATCTTTATTGCTTTTAATATCGCCCAAAGCTCTATTTAAACTAAATAAATCTACTAAATAAATCTACTAAATAAACTTATTAATACATAAACCACCACCTAGATAGCTAGTTAGATAACTAGTCAAAAGGTTAGCTAATTAAAATACTACCTCGACGAGAACCTATTTTAAAAATACCCGTCGATAAGTCTACCCCTCTCGGGTTAAGTACCCTCGGCTAGCTCGATATTATAGCTATCGTAGCTAACGTAAGTACGCTTAAGAAGTAATAAAATACCTTTTAATAATACGAAATCTAACTAGGTAATAATACGAACGTTATAAATAACCGGGCTAGTATAAATATTAAGATTTAGTATATTAATACCGGTTTAGAAATTATACTTTATAAAGTTAGAAATCCTTTTAATATAGGCTATATTATAGACATAAGGGAATATATAAGGGGCCCCCTAACCCTTAATAAAAAGGAGTATATAATACGGGATCTAGCTACTTACGCAAGCTAATATTAAGAGGTTTTATATACGTTAAAGTAGGTATAGCTCGCCCTTTAGATAGCTAGAACTTAGAGGACTTTACGTAAGAAAAAGTTAGGAGTTTTAATTAGTAATTAAGTATAGAGCGCAATATACTTAGTTTTCTTCAATATATAATATATAGTACGGCCCTAGCAAATTACTCTATCGGGGGGGCGTACTTAGGATATATTACGCGTATTATATAATTAAAAAGTATATTATATTATATAATTTCTTTTAAAAGCGTAATCCTATTAAGGTCGATCTTTTATACTTATAAAGCTAGAAAAAAAAACTACTATATAGTATTAATATATAGTATTAATTTATACTTTTACTATTTTAATAGATTATTCTTTTTAGATTTTTTACTTTTTTAACTTTCCCTCTTATAAAGTTTATAACTATAGATTATTAATAGTAATATTAGGCGATTATTATAAATATAAATAAGTAAAAGAAGCTAATTAGTTACGTTATTAAAGTATATTAAATAATTAGCCTAAGTAATAAAAAATAAAAAGCGCTCTATAAGTTAATTAGTTAATATAATTTTAGACTTAATAACTAGAAGCTTAGCGCCTTTATTAAAGCCCCTAACGCTCTATTATAATTTATAAAAATAGTAATTTTATTAAAAACCGTTAATATAAAAAGAGGCTTAATTTCCCTAGTTATATATTTTAATTATTATATTTAATAAAGGGGATATATATATATAAAAAGTATTAATTATATTACTTATATATACCCCCTAACGGAGTAATCCGCCGGGGCCGTACTATATATTACGTATTAAAGAAAACTAAGTATATTACGCTCTATACTTAATTACTAATTAAAATAATTCCTAACCTTCCCCTACGTAATTCTAACTATCTAAAGGACGAGCTATACTTATTTTAATATATATAAAACCTCTTAATATTAGCTTACGTAAGTAACTAGATCCTATATTATATACTCCTTCTTATTAAAAATTAAAAAGCCCTTTATATATTCCCTTATATTTATAATATAGCCCGTATTAAAAGGATTTTTAGTTTTATAAAATATAATTTCTAAACTAATATTAATATATTAAATCTTAATATCCGTATTAACTTAGCTATTTATAATATTTATATTATTACTTAACTAAATTCCGTATTATTAAAAAGTACTTTACTAATCTTTAAGTATATTTATATTAGTTATAATAGTTATAACGTTAAGCTAACTAAGGGCGCTTAGCTTAAAAAGGGCAGACTTATTAATAAATATCTTTAGTTTACTAATTACTAACTATATACTAAGAGTAGAGTAGTAGTTTATATATTAATAAATTTATTTAGTAAATTTATTTAATAGATTTATTTAGTTTAAATAGAGCTTTAAGTAATATTAAAAGCGATAAAAATAAAAAAAATCTTTATAAGCTTTAGTACGAAGAGTAATAAATATTAGCCTATTTAGCCCTTTTTTTAAAAAACCTCTATATTATTATTAAAATTTAAAACCTCTATAGTTAAGGGCCGCCTCTAACTATTATAACTAATTATTATAGCTAACTATTATAGCCGATTTTTACTATCGACCTTTTTAATTAGCGCTATCGTAGGGTAACTTACTTATCCTAAATTATATAGCGGTTTTTATATTAAAATCACTATATTACGTTAAGTACGTACTTAAAATATATTACGTATATTATATAATTAAAAAGTATATTATATTATATAATTTCCTTTAAAAGCGTTATCCTATTAAGGTCGATTTTTTACGCTTATAAAACCGGAAAAAAACTACTATATTACTTATATATAATTAATTTAATTAGCTATTACTTAGCCTTTTTATATACTTATTTTAATAAGAGTAGCTAATTAATTAATTAATTAAAATACTATTATTTTATTTTTAAAAATAAATAATTATTTTAATATTAAGTAATATTATAAAAAGAAACTAGAAATAAATTAAAATACTATTATATTAACTTAATTAATTAAAAACTTAATATAAAAAAAGAAAAAAGAAAATAATAAGTAAAAGCTAGCTAGCCTTCCAGGCCTAGTAGTTTAGCTCGTTACGTAATTATTAAGAGCTTAGCCTCGTAGCTTAAGGCTAAGCTATAGGGCCTATAGGGCCCTGATGCCTACTGCTGTGATAGAATATAAAAATATATATTTAAAATAAACAATTAGAATATAAAAAGCGAGGTAAATAGCTGAGCCAGCCGGGTTAGTAGATGTTCTTATTTCCGCTAGATCGCTATGTAAAGGAGTAACCAATCAAAGTATAGTAGGACCGGAAAGTAACTAACTCGTGCTATCAGATGCGGGGTTTCGAAATAAACTAAAGTCGACCGCCTCGTCTTAATCGTCCGTGCAAAGTCACTATAGAGGGGGGCATTACAAGCATTCCCCCTCGTGAAGACAAAGGAGGAATTGGCATTTGTTTCAAAAGCCTTGCAGCTACGGTAATCATGCTCTACCAGGAGCGTCGGTCTGGGTATACCAGTCACCATCTTCATCATTCTTAGCCACCCTTTGGACACTTCATCGTCCAACTACTTCCCTCAACTGAACAACATCATGGTCAATTCTTGGGCAATCATCGCATTTGGACTCTGGTCTATGATTGCGGCTTCACCAATCAAACCAAACGCTACGACCTCAGTTGCCCCAAGATCCGGTTCTTCTAACACCGGCCGATGCTCATCAGATTGCGGCAAACGAAATTTTGTTTTCACGTAGGCACCTAGAATCAGAAACTAGAGACGCTGTAGCCCCGTCACTCCCCTACACATACTGACACAATCGCTTTATAGAGGTCTGCCTTGGAATCATCCTGCTGTCGCAGCAAGTGGATATACTCCCAAGCAGGTGGAGGCCGGCATCCGGGCAGACATGGCAGCAATTATAAAGGCCGGCTATAACATCAAGGGTTTACTACTTTCCTATTACTGTGCTTCCATACACTAATTCGATCGTAGCTGTTCTTCTTGGTCCTGAAGATGGCTTGGACTTTCTTTCAGATGAACTGAAGGGTGTGGACTGGATCGGAACGGGTGTTGGTTTCGGGGTTCGGGGGAATCCGACGCCAGTGATCACGCGCCGTCTCATGGGTTTGCTTTTCCTCTGGGTTAGGCATTGTGTTGTGTACTAACTTGCTAAACCTATAGATATTGTGCAACTATATCGCGATGAAGTGCCTCGGGCTAGGATTCTATTCAACTATTCCCCTATCACGTCTCTCTGGTCAATTCAACAGTACTACCCACTCTCTGCAGAATGCTCAAACACCACGGGAACTGATATGGTAGGACAATAACCCACGATCTGATGTTTTTCTAACTTACCAGAGAAAAAGGGTATTGCGATCCGTTGTCGTGCCTGCTCTCCTTCGGCTTAGCAGTGGGGGATTTAAGGGGACGACACTGTCCCAGAGATGGTCTAAGGACTACATCGTTTTTCGCTGTGTAAAATGAATAGTATGTTGACGTTGTATTGGGAAATTCTCTAGTAGCTGTAATTTCTGGGCCGCAGATTGAGTCAAAATAATTGAAAATCTGAAATCGAGCAAGATTGTATCAATGGGCATGAATGTGTATTCAGAGCCTTGCGCACCCCAATCCGCTAGGTTCGGGCTGCCTTTTTCTCCGGATTCCCTTCGCGCATCGAATTTTACTGGAAAGAAGCATGGTTTGTCTAAACGAACTTCGTGTTCTTCCTGTGTGACCAATAGAGAACTACGAAGAGCTCAGTGTCAGGTGTCTTAGCCCAGAAAAACACGAAAAAAGTCACAGAGTGTCGATTCACCATGGCCACAGATATGACTGGCAAGACAAGAAAACGTCGATACAACTGCTAGCGTCGCCACTGGGGAACAAGAGGTATCGAGTTATGAGTATGCGGAAGCCTATATACATCTGACGATCGTATACATAGCAATGCTTGAAGGCTTCGACTGTGGCCGCTTGAAAGGTCTAGCATTGTATTGATACATAGATGCCCAGCCCGGCAAAGGCGTCAGCATCTGGACCTGGGCAGCATTATCCTAATTGAATAACGCGCGCAGTGAAGTGAATTGGGAGCCACCGAGAATTATGAAAGATATCCGCTGTTGCTAAGGAGACACATACATAAGTAGGCAGTCGTGACAGCTAGCACACATACTTTCTTCGAGGATCAAGGAAAATTTTAAAACTGATAGGATCTAGACAATATCCATAGTACGAGTGCCTAGTCGGTTGGCTACATCTTACTCTATGAGGATGACTATAAGTAAGAGGAGACTAGGTCATGTTCTTTTCCTAATAAAGGCGAGTCGATACCGCTGCTTATTGGTCTTTGTGTATTGATTGACCCCGTAGGCCTTGTGACGGCGTATTCATATAGCTCAAAACCTGCTGAATAGGCCTGCGGGCAACATTGCAACGCTTCACTTTTGCTTCTCGGGGCCAATTGTGAAGAGTAGGGGCTTGGCGGATCAGGTGATCAAACCAAGACCCTGGCAGTGAAGCTACCTTTGTTAGCGTGCTTGGGTAACCCAGCCTGTACTACGTACGGAAAATACTTCCCCTAGGCGCTCAGACACTCGGACCGGACGATGGCGGCCATCATCACAAAGGACAAAGTTACCTATCGTGACTGCATGGTTCCCCCGGGTACCCCAGGCGTCCGTAACTCCGCCTGTTGATAGTTGTGGGGTCTCGGGGAGTGGTCCTCCTATGGCAGGGGGGTGCAAGCCATCTTATCAAAAACAGCCCCAGATGCTCACCTGCATGTACTCCGTACGAATATATATCCGTGTCGTCTGACAGCGACTGATTGTACAGCCATCTCTCTCATGGCAAGCTTGAAGAAGCATATCAATTCAAGTGCTGGATGAGCACTACACTATTTTATCAAAACTGTATCCTCGTATTTGTGACTCACAAAGAATTTATTTTCTTCGATAACAAGGTACTCAGACAGCGACTGATTGCTGATGCGTATCGACCAGGGCTAGACAGCTGGGCTGACGTAGCACTCTATCTGGGAAGCGTGCCAAGTGCTAGGATGATTCAAGAAATGAACGCCGGACGCGGGGTGCAACCAATTATACAAGCTCAAATTTAACTAGTATGGGGCCAAGAATCTTGGTCCCTGTTCCCTTATCATCTATGTACATACTGTAGGCCCTGTCGCGATACGACATGGAAGAGGATTCCGTGCTATTTTCCAGGCAACGTCGGTGTTGGACTGTTTGTGCCGTTGCCAACCCACTTTGCCGTGCTTCCCTTCGCTTTACAGGTATGCCTTGGCCGGTGTGGAGCTAGTCTGTGTCTGGAGTCTGGACGCGGTTTCTGGAGATACCAACCATTCAGCCCGATAACAGTCGACAAGCCTGTTGTTGCTAGTCGTTTAACAAAAGCGACTTCTTTCCCACTCATCCTGACGCTGATCTTCTTCCTCACTCCCCTTTCCTTCGTTCCGCAAAGCCTGCCAGACTTCATGTGTCGCAAACTTTGCATGCTGCTGTGATTGAATCTTTTAATCCCACCCGTTCTTGGTTCATTCTTGTGGTACCGCTTAACGGCTGCGGCCTTCATTCCCCTTTCATCCGGTGCTACCACAATGAAGGAGTCGCATACAGAGAAGCACCCGAGCTCCGGCGACGCGATGACCGCCGAGCTCGGTAGCATCCGGAATGTCGACTCGGAAGACAAGATGGGTCACCTGCATCGGAGGCTCAACAATCGCCAAATCCAGCTCATCGCAGCAGGTGGATCCATTGGAACTGCACTCTTCATTAGCATCGGCGGTGGTCTCGCCAAAGGTGGTCCCGGCAGCTTGCTGATTGCTTACACCGTTTACACCCTGATTCTCGCTCTCGTCAACAATTCTGTTGCTGAGATGAACACGTATATGCCCGTCGCAGGTGGCTTTGTCCGTCTCGCTGGGTATTGGGTCGATGACGCACTTGGATTTCTTGCCGGATGGAACTTTTTCCTCTACGAAGCCATCTTGATTCCCTTTGAGATTACTGCTCTCAACATCGTCATTTCGTTTTGGAGTGACGAAGTCGTTAAACCAGGACCGACAGCGGGGATTTGTGCTGCTGTGATCATTCTTTATGGGTAAGAAAATCGTTCTAATTTGCAGGCCCCCTCTGCTTCTATCTCTTACCCCCTTTTATGAAGGGGAGACCTGCTGAAAACATAAACGCAATGTAACACTTACCTTTGTCCACAGGTTGATCAACGTTCTAGCGGTACGGGGTTATGGCGAAGCTGAGTTCTGGCTTTCCGGAGGCAAGCTGATATTGATCTTCATGCTTTTCGCTTTCACATTTGTGACTATGGTCGGCGGCAACCCTCAACGTGATGCATACGGCTTCCGCCACTTTACAAACCCCGGCTCATTTGCAACATATCTATCGGGCGGCGACCTGGGTCGTTTCGAAGGGTTTCTCGCCGCACTTTTCAGTGCCTCCTTCACCGTCGTCGGTCCTGAGTACATCTCCATGGTATCTGCTGAAGCCCAACGCCCAAGCATCTATATCAAATCAGCATTCATTACCGTCTACTACCGGTTCTGTATCTTCTTCATCATTGGCGCACTGGCTGTTGGCATCGTAGTTCCGTACAATCACCCGACCCTAGTCGATCTCTACTTTGGGGACGGTGGTGGCGGTACTGCCGCGGCTTCTCCGTATGTGATTGCCATGGAGACCCTCGGTATTGGCGTGCTTCCTCACATCGTTAACGCACTCATCCTTACATCTATCTTCTCGGCTGGCAATACCTACACCTACTGTGCCACTAGAGCGCTCTACTCGCTATCCCTCGAAGGACGAGCGCCTCGTTTCCTACGTCGCTGTAACAAGAATGGAACTCCCATTTACTGTTTTGCCATTGTTATGCTATTCCCGATGCTGTCTTTCCTCCAAGTTAGCAGCAGTTCTGCCGTTGTTATTACGTGGCTGACTGCGCTTATCACGGGAGGCGGGCTGATCAGCTTCATCATCATGTCGATCACGTTTATCAACTATCATAAGGCCTGTGTCGCTCAGGGAGTTGACCGCAAAACCCGACCCTACTATGGATATTTCCAGCCTTACGGTGCATATATTGCTTTGGGATTTCAGCTACTCATTCTCTTGGTGTACGGTTACTACGCGTTCCGCCCATGGTCAGTAGAGCTGTTCTTCCAGAGCTACACTATGCAGATACTAGCTGTCGTTCTGTTTTGTGGATGGAAGCTTTTTAAGAAGACCAGATACATAAGACCTCACGAGGTCGATCTTGTTTGGGAGCGGCCTTTGATCGAAGCCTATGAAGATTCCCTGGTTGATCCGCCAGTTGGCTTTTGGACTGAAATGGCGCAAATGATTGGACTCAGAAGAAACAAGGTAGACTTTCGTTAATCCCTCTATGGACCAAGAGAAGCTGACATTGTTAGGTTTAATAACCCTCTCTCACAACAAATTTCGTACAAGACACCTTAACGTACTAAGATCCCATATATTAATTCATTCATGCTTTTGCCATCGGCTTGGAAAAGCTTGTAGCACTTTGAGCTGATACTGATTGTGTCGTTCGCTATGCGCATGACTTTGCTCTACTGGCCTGCCACGCCTGATTGGCCGTGAGCCTGGAAGAGAGGGTGGCAGGGGACATTGCCCAGATGGAGCACAACCCAGAGACCACAAGATCCACAGAAACTGACTAGAATCTGAAAAGAGAATTGGCATAGAAAGACTCACCATTGCAGTTCTTAAGGACAAAGCAGAGTGCTGGCCGGAGAGTCCCACTTTACGTGGCCGTCATGAACTGTATAACAATCTTTCATCTGTTATTAAAGGCCATTAGACATTCCAAGCAGATTTGAAGGATGCGCGAGGTGGCTGCGATTCGAGACTCCCCTATCTGACCGCTTCCAAATCCCGATGTAAATGATGTCTATCTTGAGAGTCAGATCCACATTTCCAGGCTCTCAGCAGCACCGCGTGCGCTGTAACTTGCTGCAAAACCAGGATCGAGACTTTGCGTCGCCACGATTATAACTGGGAAGCTTAGAATTGAGATGAGCAAAAGCTAGTGGCTGGTCGTTCTCTACATATAAGGTATCATTCATCGATGACGGCATCTACTGCGTAAGTGATCACACAGCCGGCGCCGAGTAAAGCTTGCACATTCCTAGAGTGTATACGTACCTAGACAGCCCCAGGCAATACAAACAAAGAGGAGCTGGGGCTTGATATTAGAAAGACCAATCGACGAGAAGTACACGTTCACAAAACAAGCCTGTTCATCATCTATCTTCTTAATTTCCGCGGTATGATCAGTACTAGTCTGTGGATCAAATTGGTTTTATGACCTTCCATTTTCGCCCCCGAACTGCTACGCAGGATCCTCAATTTGTCGTACAGGCTCGCCAGAATTGTTTTAGCGCCATGTCGATTTTGGAGAGCAGGTTGGTGGAAGATAAGGTTATATTAAAGCCCGGCGACGATCCTAGATGGCTCGCCGGAAACATAGTCTTGGAACGGCAGTTGAGCTTGACGCCTGCGGGGAAATGGGTTAAATATGTCACAATTGAGGGGCCTTTCTCGGGCCAAGTATCTCTATTGGGCGCTCGGTGTCATACTCGCCGGGTGATTCAAATCCGGGACCTTTCCCATGTGCGTCGAATCACACCATCCAGGGATGCGAAGCGAGGCTAGCATTGTCGCCAGTCCACGGCACCGAAATCTGCAAATCAGCATTTCCTTACGAAAAACTACCTGGGACTCTTGCAATCAAGTCCGAGATGAGAGCCGAGCCCGCAAAACTGAAGAGGTATAAGAAGATGTCATTTTCACTCTTTCGAGTGGCGCTCATAACAACACAACTTACGAGTCACTCCTCCTTCTTGTAGAGCATCGGTCAACATACACTGCCAATCATTGGAGAGAAACTTTGTCACAAACTTACCACCATGAAGCTGTCTCTTCTCATGACAGCTGCAACTTACGCCGCAGCTGTGCAGAGCGCAATCACTTGGAGCCTCGAGAAGGCCGCAAGCCCTACGGCGGATCAGACAGACGCCTATAACAAAATCGAAGCTGCAATGCGTCTTGCTGTTGCCCGTCATTCTCGCCTCGGAAGCGCAACAAAGAACTTGCGCGTTTACTATACTCCTGGCGTACCAACTGCGGAGGCAAATTACAACGGCGACGTCAGATTTGGCTCAAACCGAGCATATATGAATGAGAGAACGGCCCTTCATGAGGTCTCTCATACTCTGGGAGTTGGTCAAACTGCTGCGTTCGATCGAAAGTGCGCTGCTGGAGATTGGGCCACTGCGCTGCCATTACTACGGTCGTGGGATGGCTCAGGAGCAGTCATCAACTGTGGTGGTTCGCACATTTGGCCTTATGGGCTGAACTACGATACTGAGTGGAGTGAGACAAACGCCAACCGCCATGTCCAACTCATAAATGCTATGATACGGGATGGCATGTAGCTGGTGTTAGCGTATTTGACGAAGGAGTTTGGTCTAAACTGTCGAAGACATCCTTGTCTGCAGCTATCGTCTTTTTCGCCAACGCGTCTTGTATCATTGGATTTTCTGGGGCTTAGTATGAAATCCAAGTGACATTAGAATCAAATTGACGAATATTCCACCTATTTACTCGATCGAAAATGAGCTATGGCTATGGGTCAACAGTATTACCAAGTGCAATCAGACGTTCTGAGGCACGGGAAATTAGATCAATGATGCCTTTGTTCTCTGTATTTGCATTTTTCGAATTGCCTAGTCACGCACAGAAGTAGAATAAGAGATGAGCCTCCTACTGATAACGGGGAATAGGCTGCGTCAGCCCTTGAGCAAGGAGTATACTTCTAGCTATTCTAGTTTCAATATTTGCTCTGCCTATCGCGAAAAAGCCATCGATATACTCCGAAAATCATTGTTCCCGTGTATGTTGTGCGTATTACTACGCCGTAAACCCCATTTAGAATGTAAGTTCCAAACATCATATACACATCCTCCAAAATACCTCAAGCTATGCAATCCTCTGCCTCGTCCCACACCTTACTTGACTTGTCCAGACAGTCAAATAGCTTCCTTACATGATGAGCAAACGAGCTTCAGGGAGCTGAGAAGCCCAGCGAAGTCCAAAGAGCTGACGATCCCAGATTCTTTCTAGATGATTAAGAGCCTTTAAGATGTTCTCAAAACGACTCTTCTGGTGACATTCACGTAGAGTGATTCTGAAAAAGTCCTTATGCTCATCCGTCATGCATCCTGAAGCTACCACAAAGAATGCCCAAACCAACACTTCTCTTCCTGGTGAGTCAGCGGGGAATGATTGGAAAGTTTCGATGAACAATTGCACTCTCTCGACAGATTTCTTCATGTGATTATCAAGACTGATTACGGCAGAATGTGATATCATCACACTAGTACCTGCTCTGTGGAGATAGATATTGTGCGACTGCTGAACTAGATTCATAATGCGCGATACTGTCTCCGAATGCTCTGGTCGCTGCTGCGAGCAGTATTTCATGCATTCGAATGCTCTAGTGACTTGCTTTCGTGAAGATAGAGTCAGAATGCCACTATCCTCGCTCAGAAGAGGAGCTGAATATACGCGTAATCTGCCAGGCCACAAATTAGTTTACCGTTCAAAAGGGAAACTTCCGGCTGTGCCACCGAGCACCTGGTCTCCCTACCTTACCACGAGATAATCGAATCTAAGTCACTTACTTGTAAACCTGGCGCATTATAAAGGCTGAAAGCTCATCGTGTCCCAGAGAGTCTTCTCCACCAATAGTTGCCAGTGCAGATTCTAGGAGACGAAACAACATTGGGAAGTCATCCGATCCTGTCACCATGGCGGAAACAAGTAGGACAAGTATGACGACTAATGTGCGAATCTTACTTGAACGATCATGGGCTTCGAGGTCACGTCGTCTTCCTAGATCATGAATTGTTGTTGCGTATAGCTGCATCGGAACCACCGACGTGTTGTGTAGCCTTGACCTTGTGACCTGGTGCGTGTTGCCCTCAGACTCGGCCGTACGTCTTTGATTACTTAAATGAAACGAAGAAACGGCGAGCACGGATTTCAATACTAAGGGATCCATATGAGCGATAGGTAGAACAAGGTGGCGCCAGCCGTTATGGTGACCATCCGCGGCCACCATTTCTACCGCAATGTGGGCTGAGACTGGAGATGTGATTGTTAGCAGCGCGTTATAGTTACAGAAAGAATATCATGTCATTACAATACGACAGCAAATGAGTCTCCCAAGGGGTCAAGTTGCTTGAGGTTGGTTGATGAGTGAAACAGCGGGTGGCAGCGGCTTCCATCTCGGACCATAGAGTAGCAGGCCTGTCTAAACTCTCGAGAATAATATTACGAACGGTGTTTTCATGCCGTCCGGAGGGCACAATAGTAGCACCGTCGGACTCTACGTGAGCTGGCTCAGCTGAATTCTCGCACATCATTAGCTGGTGGGAATAATCCAGAGTAGACGGTAGCTGGTCCCAGACCTTGTGCCATGCCGACCGGACCTGAAGTCGGGGAGAAGTGCCTTTTTCTTGTTGTGCGCCATATTTGTACACTATGGTAGCCCCGTTCGTGGTCTCGTGGTCTTTTAAGTGGTTACTTCCCAACATTCTCAGCCAACGACATCGCGTGTTTGCACTCACTGTTCGTATGCTTGCTGAACGGTTTTGCCTCTCCAAAAGCCTCGCGATGCCGCCCCATCGCTGAATCGATGTCGAACCCCTAGACCGCTGCACTTTAACCCTTTCCTGGAGCACTTCTCACATTCAGGCTCCGCGCGATCGCAGCTGATCCGACGCTTCGAGCATTCGTAGCAACCTGCCGCCGATATCGATCAGTTTCAAGGAGCTAGATGGGTATTATAAGACGGCGAATCTGGAAGAAGTACCGACCTCTTATCTTAGGTCGATAGGGCCGGGGCTTGCGGGATACCATTCTGAGTTAGGTTGCTCAACTGAAGCATTATTGAGGCTGAGTCATGCAAAGGCGAGATACAATAGATCATACGTGGGATCTTAGACATGAATAGTCTCATTAATTGTTGCTCAGGTGGCGATTTCTTCTCTCGAAATCAGTTGTTTGAGGAGAAACTGCGTTGGGCGGCTTCATGCTCGATGTTTCTTGGGACTCAACGCCACTCGCCTCCTTCAATGAGACCCGAGATCCCAGGCTAGCCAGGCTAGTCCTTAAAAAGGAGGTTAAGTGAGACCAGCGTTAGGAAACAAAGGGAACCCACCCGCCCGCATGTGAATCGATTCCGTAATAATTACCCCGCACCTTCTCAGTACCGAACTTCAGGAGATTAGTCGAAGGACGCCGGAAACATGTCAATTTAGGTCCACGAGACGACCTAAAGATCTGTATGAGATCCTTCACTACGACTGTGGATGGCTAAGTGGCATTCTGCATGTCGCCTCATGCCGCTAGCTGTAGCTCCTGAGCGATGGCCACAATGTAGTCAGGATATAAATCAATGGTATCAGATCAAGTGCTTGTTCCAACCGTCAAATTATGGTAGCCTACTTAGTTGACCGGTGTGCTGGGTGCCCCGATTCCCCCTCTTATTGAGACTATATGCCTCTGCACAAGGTAATAGACGGAACCAGAACCCTGTAAATGTAAGTGCTAGAAAATTGCATGAGATGAGTTGAGATGAGCGGTTCCATGTTCTAGGTACACTGGGACCTGTGTCACCCACTATCAGTGGCTACATTGATAAGAACCGTACGGGGTGGTATCACATCAAGCCGATTCCCTATGTAGCCAAGCGTTTATGATCCTAGCTCATAATGTCAAATATCACGTTCGGGGATGAAACTGAAAAAGACTTATGAGATCTATTGGAAATCGTATCATCGCTTGTAAATTGAATGCGATGCTCATATTGAATGTTTCGTGCGCTTTTCGAATGCACAATTTGATTGGTCGTAGTCGTTGCGAGTGGAAAGTGAAATGATCAAAGATTCAGCTGTCGTGCTTCCCTATGCATGGCGCTGTTGGATAATACTGACTGCATGTCCCCTTTCACGAAGTATTTCTTAAAAGTCTCAGCTGATTCTAGAAGTTTCCCAATATAACAGCCGCATCAAGTTTAAGGTCTATCGTAGCATACATCATTTGTGGCTGAAGCAATGTCGGTATTGCTTGACGTACCTTAAATCCGAAAGGCTGATCAGTGCGCTACGGCATATCCAACAGTGTGAACACAACAGCTTATCGTGCTCCTACAGCACGCGAGACTAAGTGAATACGCCATTTTTATTGACCACAAAATAACGGAATCTCTCGTAAGTTTACATGGGTTCAATTGGTAATAGAACCAAGGGAACGACAAAGTCTAAGAAAAAAAAAGAAGGAAAGAGACGAAGTGAAGTGAATAAGTGCTTCTCAACGGCCACCCTTATCTAGGTATTACTTTCTACTAAGATCCACTCGTGATCGAGAGCAAGAGAGAGGAGTATTTGGATTATTCGCCCAAAAAAGTTGACAAAATGCAAAACAAAGTGCACGCGGCACAGGCAGACAACTGCATGATCTCTGGTTTAGTAATATTCCTCTAGGGCGACCACCTGATGGCCGCATCAAAAGCGAAGCTTATTAATGCGCACACTATGGTGTGAGCTGCTCATCTAAGCTGCTAATTTAACTCGCTAATCTAGTCTGCCATAGTGATGAGTTTGTCACCTAAGTACAATCGCATTACTACATATTTATGCTCTCTTGTGTGAGGTTCTACTGTTGCCCGAACTCCCTTGCGTCAAACTCGCGCCAAGGTGGACAGGAGATCATCGTTCACCAAGGTGAGACATCATTGTCGATGCTATTGGCCCCTGCCCTGTGCAAGAAGTCTCGGGGGCGAAAGCAGCTCCGCTTGAGAAACTCGAGAGCATACTGTCGATCTCATATATGGGTGCTGTGACTAAAGAGGCGTTCAAAATCGTAGGCTGCCTTCTCCCGTCAGTAGCCAGCAGGAACGACGGCCCGCCAACCCGGCTGCGACGTTCGAGGAACTGTTTTCTCACAGGGATGTACAAAGAAAGAAGGCAAGATATGAGTGGCCTTGAATGCCTCGTGATCGACTCAAGGCTGGCTGGATTCGCGAGTGAGACGTCTTCCGAGTGTTGGTGATGTCATATGGACAGTCAAAACCCCAAACAGCCGAGCCTACGTGCTCTCAGTAGCCCTCCGTGATCTACGCGGGCATCGTATGAGAATTGACAGTGAATTACGGTGACCGGTCGAGGTCGGTATCGCACTCGTCGCCTCCGAACCTTGGCGCAAATCAACGCACACCGACTTGGGTTGAAGAAATGCCAAGCCAAGTCTGCATCATGTCTTCTGCTAACCTCTAGATGCGGAGCATTCGGGTAGATCTCTGAAGCCATGGGGACCAGACCCTATAGCTAGCTACGGGCAGACATTGGCTTTGGGTCTCGGTGAAACCTCTAAAACATTGCCGTACATTGCCGTACATTGCGAATGTTCGGCGAATGAATACAGAACTGGCTTCGATGCACCCATGGCAGTCTCGAGAGGTCCCTTGATCCTGCAATTGGCCACCGCCTGATTGTTCCTGGCAGTGCACCCTCAGAGAGCCAGCGCCCTGGGACGCATTGTAAGCCAAGTGGATGATGGAGGATAACGAATAATAGAGTCGACGGAGTGGCAAGATTTGTCTCTCACGCTGCCTTGACCGAGTCCTTATAGGTAGGTTTCCGGAGGTTGCTGGACAAGAACTTGCAGAGACTGGATAATTGTACTAGTCTGCTACCTTGATCTTGGATCCAGCTAAGACCAGTCTTCAGGTGTTGAGAGCCTTCTTTCTGAAACGCTCGGCTTGTGATATTAGATCATGCCGGAATGAACCCCATCTAGATTCGATAGGTGGGCGTTCTAGCTGACTGGCCGACAACCGCTAGATACGCCACTCAAATTGGTGCGTTGACCGACTGGCCCAGAGCAGATAGAGGCCAAGAGGAGTGGCGAGATAGGCCATTCAGTATAGATGACGTCACGAGAATGAGTTGTCTTGCTGTCTCACCCGGCGGCAGACTCGCTGCCGTGCCCATCCCCATTTGACTGCAGAGAAGGGACGTTAGATTTCGGTCGGCGGCCTCTCTTAACCTTGTGACGTTGCGCATTGCCCAAGACATCATTTGGTGAAGCTTCCCGAGTGCTAAGAATCGTATTAGCTACATATAGGCGCCCGGACAGAAATCATGGTTATCATGAACGACTTACTCCTTGTCCTTCAATCTTCGGCGTTTGATCATCTGTAGAGCCTCCTTACGCATGTTACACGAAAAATGCTCATTGAAATCGAGGGTGATGAGTTCCCACATGCAGTGGCGTTTGGTGTGTCGGTAATGATCAAGGAGGAAGAAGAGATACTCTTCCTGATCCTGGCGTCTGGCGTTGGCACTAACGCTGGGCACGGAACGGTCCGACGCCTGTTGGGTGCTGGCATGACTCGGAGAAATATAGCCCAAGCAATGGATGCCCATGCGTGAGCAGTTTTGGCCTGTTGAGCTTGTCAGACGGAGACTCGGACCACGAAAGCCATTGATCGACGAATAGACGCGACTAATTCAGCGAGGTACAAACTTACATGAGGGACGCCCCTCATCACAAGGCATCTTACGAATTTGACAGGTCTTGCAGCCAGGCTCCGCGTGCTGGGGTTGAGAAGTCTGCAATTGAGGCCTCGTAGTCATGACGACGTGAGAGGGATTCGGACGAGCGACAAATGTCAGGGGCTCCAAGGAATCCGACGTTGGAGAGGCGGGCATGGAACTCGAGGCGGGAGGGTTAAGTACATCAGCAAGATGGGGGGGCGTAGGGGGGTGACTCGAGCGCGACGAAGACATGTTCACATCGTCATCCGGGTCGCACAGCACATTCTGAAGGTCCATGACGGAACAGCGGCTGGGCTTGGGATCGGAACGCGGGGTAAGAGTGGCATAGCCATGGCTGGCATTGCTAACGAAGCTTGAATTACTGTGATTTCTGTCGTGGTTGCTGCCGCCGAGGACGCCGAAGGTGGCGGGATGCGAGGGTGTTGGCGAGGGCGATGGAGGAAATCTGAGCGCGTCATGACGGGAGGCTGCAGCGGTTGCAGCGGGAGGACCCGGCGTGGAAGCCGAAGGCACACCCGACAGCGGAGCCGGAGCTGGACCGGCAGCCAGGCGGCGGTAGTAGGTTGGCGGCGGCGGATGGTTGACAGAGAAGGAATAAGGTTCGAGGCGGCCGGTAGCATGGGCGGTGTCATGGCGCGACGGGCGAGCCAGCGGCAACGACATGGACGGGACTGAGGGCGGAGGAAGTGGAGGCGGAGGAGCAGGAGGAGGCTGAAGAATCTCTGAGGGTGAAGAAACAACAGCAGCACCAGCAGCACCAGCCGCGGCAACGACCGGCCGGTTGTCGGCTGCGACGGTGACGGCAACGGCGACGGCTTTGGCGTTGGCGTTGGCGGGCATCCGCATCGTGTCTCACTTCCAGTTCCAACAGTCCACGTCCGCGTCCACACACTGCACACTTCCGCCGGGTGCGCGAGCGGGCGAGTAAGGGGAAAACCCAAGGAGGCGGAGACGAGACGGGATGGCGTTTGACACGTGGAGGAGGCTCCAACTTTCAGCCTCTTTCAAGCAAGGCGAAGCAAAGGCAGAGCAGAGCAGAGCAAAGCAAAGCAGAGCAGAGCAGAGCAAAGCAAAGCAGAGCAGAGCAGAGCAGAGCAAAGCAACCATAATTACCTTGCTGTATTCGTACCCGTACGTACTCCGTACAGTAATTAAGCTAAGGCATCCGTAAGCTAAGCGCCCACTCACTCCTTTCGCATGAGCCTGGCTGCGCTCGCTTGGCTTCGCCTCGCCTCACCTCGCCTCCTCTGCACGTCCAGTCTCCTCTCCTCTTCTCTCTTGTTCCTTCTCTCTCTCCTCTCCATGTGTCTTTCCTCAGCGGTAACCAGTTGCCAGGACTGGACTGGACTGAACTGGATTGGACTGGGCTGGACTGGACTGGAGCAATAGACGGAGACATGGGCTTGTCGAATGTGGGCTCGAGGATAGGCTAGGGCCGGAGACTGTGACGAGGGGCGGAGCACCATCAATCACCAACACCACCACTACCACCACCGCCAGTTGGCAGTTACCTTGGGTATTGGCCGGTGCTCTTTAGGATAGATCACAGACGGTGAAAAGTCGGGGCTATGGACATCTTTCTAAAATGTGCTTCAGTTTCCGTAACCTGTGAGCCCTAACTCCAGTCTGTATCTGTACGTATCATTCACTACTGGCTCTCCGTATGTACGAAGCAGCTTTGACTCTTGTGCCTTGTTTGGCGGCTACCATAGTAGTAATAGCGTGGACAGGAAGAAATGACATGGATGATGCAGCGTGGCATGACGGCTCACGGCGGTCTGGACGCGTCCTTCTCCATCTCTCACCTCCCCTACACGAGGTACGTACAACAAGAAGATCCACTCTCGGTCCTAACGGCAGGGATTTCCCCCAATCAAAGTCCGGGCGGTTACGAGCCACCCAGTCTGCTGACGAAAACGACTTCTCATTGGCTTCCCTAATTCGGTCCATTTCGGCCAGGTCCGCTCAACGGCTAATTTGCGGCTTCCCGCCGTTGTCACCCTGATGAGAAGCCTGGAGTCACCTTTCCTACCTTACCGTGAGTGTGTACGGAGTAGGCATGTGCTCCGTGCCTTTCTCAGGCAGGTACGTACCTTACCTTTCTGCTTCGTGGCGGTGGGTACGTAGCTTGGGCGCCTTAGGTGCAATGGACTTAACAGTTCCTCTCTTCTTGTTCCTGTCAGTCTCACTCTCAAGTCTCACCCTCAAATTTCACTCCCAAATCTCACTCTCAGATCTCACTCTCCACTTCAATCCCGCCTATGCAGTCCTGGCAATACCTATCTCACCTTGTGCTTGTGGCTCTTTCCCTTCCCTGTACCATTCGCCACCCCCTTCCCCCTCCTCTCTGTCTCCTCGTTTCCATCAAGACTCGGAACTTTTCACTCACGTGATTATGTACAGTCCTGGGAATGGATACTCCGTACCAGCCCCCTCCTTCAGCCCACAAAGGCCATATCGCGGTTGTTTGGTGAAGTAACTTGGCGCAAAGACACATGAACATCTTCTTAAAAGAAAACCAAGCCTTCTCTTCCGAAGAACGATTCCTGTCCATTGGGTTTTCAGTTTGCTCTCTACGAATAGTGGATGGAACTTCATCCTTTTCGCATGGGCGTTATCTCCCTGACCCCGTCTCTGAACCAGAATAAAGGGACTGTTCTGCATGCCCCTTGCATCCAACCATGTACATATTCTCACTTGATTGAGACCAACAGGCATGGTCGCTTTTAAGGTTAAATCCTGCCTGCCCCCCCCCCCCCCCCCCCCCCCCCCCCACGCCCGCCGCCCCCCCCCTGCCCCCCCACCCCCCACCCTTTTAAATTTTCTCCCTTTTTTTGACCCAAAGGCAAGGGGCCCTTTTAAGGTAAAACCCCCCCCCCCCCCCCCCCCCCCCCTTTGACACAATCACAGGGGAGCCCCGCGCGTTTGCATCATGGCTACCTGATGGAAGAACTTTTTGACACTTTGCCTCTTGATTCTCATGCGGGTCTACTACGCCGTAATCCGCTGGTTAAGGCACATACCAATCGCTAGCAATGGCATCCAGAACCCGCGCTTGAAAGCATACATAGGTAGTATCTACCTGGGTGAAGTGAGACAGCGGAATGTAAGAGATTTTTGTTCCTTAGAGTCGAATGCAAGTGACGGCCGTGAGGCTGACAGTTGTGCAGCTGCCGCCCTCACTTGGGTTGTGATTGCTTTTCACCAACACGCACGTTGGCAATGACATGCATTCAGATACGATTACAAACCACTTTCTACTACGTTACATCGAGATATGTGCCCGGGTTTGCTTCCCGTGCTACAGCTAGGATAGTATGACAAACGTAATGTTATTCGAGACTGCCATCAAATAGTATTACTCCTCCGATGTCCTTACCCATGAACGAAACTTTGACCCAGAACTCATGTCTACAGGACACGACTCGTCAACAATATTGCTTTTCTAGGATTCTCATGGCGAGATCAGCCTCATATTCATGGCTTAAACGAATTGAAAAAGATTGCACGCCCTAGCCTTTCTGCTACTCGATGTCGAATAACTTTCGAGGCAACCACTTGAAAGAGTCTCATCAGCCACGCATGATTCAGAGCTTCGCAAAGCGGCGTTTAGGAATCAGGTTTCCCACGTCTAAGTAGAGGAATACTTAAGTGAGTCAGTGTCCTTCTTCATAGAGTAGTCGAGAATTCATGCTGAGATCCCAATAACTACAGTCTACCTATAAGTACAAACAGTAGACGGGACTAGGTTCAACACAGCTCAAGCAAAGTGCCGCAGAGATGAGCAACGTCATGTGATTGAGCCAACTATAGCTCTGAAAAGGGAGAGAGGATTGCATTCTATACGCCACCCTTCTGGCATAATATGATTGGAAGCACGGCTTTCTTTTCTTCAGAATCATACACGAGAATGATCTTCACCAAAGCCGCAGTACCTTCACTAGGCTAGCTATCATGTCACGTACAGTATGCCACCGCTGTTGTTAAATGCCCGGTACCTTTTCTGGGGCAATTCTCTTCTGAATTTCCTGGCCATCACTTATTGGAACCCCAGACATAACTTCCGACACAGGAGTCTCAGCCTCTGCGTCTTGAGATACTGGCTGGGCGAACTTTTCGAAAGTGTGTTTGTCAAGCTAGACATATGTTAGCATATATCGAGATTTCTGGCCTTTTGTAGTCTAACTCACTTTCCAAACTGCCCACATGTAGCCAAGCATGACGAAGCAGCAAACTATCATGACTATGCACCCTTTCCGCCAGTATGGTGCTTCATCGGCAGAATAAAACACGATGCCCCAGAACGTATAGAGAGTCAAGCTCCCAACGTTCATGCAATAAACCGTGACGCTGCGCACAGCGTCATCGCCACTCCTCTGAAGGATGATACTTGCCCACCCAAAAATGAGAGGGTTGACCATATAAGCAGTACCGGAAAGATAAAAAGCAAAGAATGTGCCAGCAAAAGGAATATTGGGTATGATCAGTAAGATGGCACAGACTAGCTGTAGAACGATTGCCAGAGTAGCCATGGGGATGCGAGTGCCAGTTACATCCATATGCCAAGCAGCAAACATGTTCGAAACAATCCCAACAGCTTGAACCCCGAGAGGATACGTGTTGATCTGGGTCTGTGAGAAGTGGGACGATTGATACTTGAGCCAAATGAGAAAGTTGTTTTGAACTGCCCAAGCTTCCAAGGTGGCGCATACTGGAGACCAAAATAAGAGAATCCAGCTTATGCAGTGTCAGCTGAATTCAAATTGCAATGGCGCTTACAAAGCTTACAAAGTGGGTGACATAGCCAATCGTTTCATCAGTGATATGGGACTGATACTATGCCCTCCTTCTTTAATAGGCGGGAGGCGGCTGACCGCCAGCTTCTTCTCTGAGTTACTCAAGTACAATGCCTGAGTGTTCTCTGGAATATCAGGAAAGTAGTAAAAACCGAAGAATGCGACTGGAAGAGTGATAATGCCATCTTGGAGCCACTTAGCGAGCTTCACTTTGACTTTGATGGAAGTATCTTACCAATGAGGAACACCCACTGCCAGCCTCCGAGGCCACCTAGTCCACCCATGCCTTTGTAGATGGCTGCCATCATAACTCCCGCGAACATGGTCCCGACTTGACCAGAAGCAGTGAAAATGGCCGTTCTCTTTGCAATTTCGCTAGGGGTATACCATGATCCAATGATGTAAATAGTCCCTGCATATGTGCTAGCTTCAGCTAATCCAAGGAAAAACCGAACGACACACAGTTGTGTTACGGTCTTGACTGTAGCGCTGACCATGGTCAACCTTTTATTGACATCAGCTTTTAATTTTCGAAGTTCCACGTGTAAAATTTGAGTGAGATGCTTCAGGTTGTCACTTACGCAGCCCAAACTACAACCATCGACGGAAGCCAGATTCTTGGCGGGACCTTTTGAATAATCAGCCCGTGAGGGATTTGACCAATCGCCATGCTTCCGTAATGTTAGTTACTGCCAGATGCTATCGCCAATGCCATGTTGTCATGAAGTAACTTACCCCGCAGTTGTGACCGAAAGAACAGTGTTGTAATCATGTCCTGACATGTGAAGAGCCTCGCGCAGCCCGGCAACCTGTCAAACAATTCAGTACACCTCGGAGAGATCAGGAAGACGTCTTTGACTTACATAGGCGTTGGCAAAGGCGGCTCGATCCGTAGGCAAGTAAGTACAACGGAAGATTATCTCTAAGAATGGTTGACTTGACAAGCGAACGTACCTAGAAAGTTGAAAAAATAACTTAGACAACAGTATGTCTGTCAGGAAGATCAGCAGGCAATCGAAGTCAAGCAAGCAAGCTTCCTAGCAAATACCAAAATAAAAAAGTCTGATAAATCAGTCAGATATCAAGTAGCAGCCAGAGAACGCATGGAGCGGGAGATTTCGACTCACCGATTTTCTGTACGAGTCGTCTTTCTTCCTTAGTTTTGGCCCCTTCTCCAAGGAAGAAAGCTGCAAGACTCCGGTCAGACTGATTCCAAGGTAAGCTCTGCACCGCAGCGCAACGCAACTCACTTCTGACTTTCTCTCCGACGGATCTCTTGTTAGTCAACATGATTTCGGAGGTCTTCATTTTCAGCATTGCTACACTTCAATACTTTTCTGGGGCGTTGACGTGAGTGAAGAATGAAAAAGGGAGTCAACCACATCACAACACGACTTGCGTGGAGATCATATGATTAACCGCGTCCCCGCTATATTGGCGATTATCTTGAAAATCTGATAATTCGACCCGGGAGGATGCTCGCTGGGGTTTTCTCCGAGATAGCCTTGCCAAGAATTCGATTCGCAGGCGAACGGAAAATCTTGCTGAGGTAGTGATGGCTGACTTCCTGATCTGGAGAACTTGTCGTATAAGCGACCTTTACCGAGCATCACATCCTTGCAATCACAGTCAAGTCGGGATAAAGTCGAGTCAGATCCACGGTTTCCACCAGCCGTTTTGACTTATCGGAGAGATGGCCGGGAACACGAGGTGGCCGTCTTCGTGCTCGGCGGAGACCATGCTGACGAGCTTTGCGGCCAAAACTCGTTGGTCAACGATTTATAAACACTACTACCCTGTGTGGATTATAGAAATAGGTTGATGTTTAACCATGTATAATAGTTGGAAATCCTCACCCTGTTTCACTGTTGCTAATTGTTTAGTCAGTGGTGTATACCTCCTGTCAAATTGACACGAAGAGCAATTTAATCGTTGGTGCGAGAGCTGCCACCTTTTTCTTTTGTTCACTATAGGCACATTGAGTATCTCCACACCTTACGAACCTAAAATCTAAATGTGTGGAGTTTCATCCGAATCTCCGAGCCTCCGAGCCGAGCGGCGAACTTGACCGATCAGCGAACATGGGCAATGTCTTTGGTCTGTGTCGGGGTCTCTTCAAATGAACCAACACACATGCCCCGTAGCTTGTCTTTCTTCAAAAAAATTCTTTGGGAATATATTTCGTCAGGTGATGCAGCTACTATTACTGCAATACGTGACCATCCCTCTGCGTGGTCATCGCCATTCATACTACATAATTGCTCACTCATTTCCTCTGCAGCGAAGGCTAGGTGATCAATGTATTAGGTAGGTAGGAGGTGGTGCCACAGCTATGATACGGGGAAGCTTGATCATGGCTTAGCGGAACTGCATGAACTGAACGATCCAACCGGCCAAGTCGCGCCGGGCTGGCGCAATCACTGATAGAAGGGCGCAACCGGCGTTAAACAATGAAACAAACATCACTGACAGAGCCTTGGCTCGGCAGTCCGCTCCAATTTCGTTTGCCTTCCTTTCTCAAAGTGCGAGTCGACGTTTCTTCGACTCCACAAGGATTTTACTATTATCCAGGCATCCCCAACAAAAGTATTCAATGAATGACATTGCTGTTTTCGCAAGAACATCAACTGGATGCCAATATATGTGCCTTACCGTCATCCTTATACCACCTGCAGACTTAGCCAAGTCCACAAACTTTCGGGGTTGGGGGTAGAGGGAAGTGATGGTGCACAAGCTGCAACATACTGGCGCGCAGGCAAGCCAAACGCCTACCTAGATTATAATAATTTCAACACAGAGTGTCGGAACTACTTTGGAAGATGCGTGCAAGTTACATTAGCTTAAGATATATTTTTATCGCTTTATAGCTATCCTTTTTAGCAACTTGAACTAAAGTTTGAGAGAGACATAGACAAGGTCAAATCACCTATATCAATGTTGCTCTTCTCCCTTCGAGTATCACCGGATTTGGGTTAGTTTAGCTAGGAAAGACTACGAATAAATCCCGCCTAGCTACCGTATTAAAATCCTACTTTTATTTTGTAAACGACTATGATACTAATAATTCTTATCTAAATATATTACTTTTTGATATATATTTATTATTATATTATAATATTATATATTAAAAATAAATTATTTAAGTATTAGAACTATATAGAATATAAGGGAGTCTTATAGTATAGTACTTTAAAAGAACTATTAATACTTTTAAAAATAATATTTTTATCTCTTTTAATCGGCTTAATATAGCCTTAATTAGAAAAATTACTATTTATAAACTAAGTATAATATTAATTAGATTAGAAAAATAGATTTCCCTAATCGTTTTATATTATTATATTTAAAAATAAATTATTAAAAAGGCTCTAGTTTAATTTTAAAAAGTATATATCTAATTAAAGTAAAAATGCGCGCTATTAAAACCTCT